CAGTATGGCTGATTTCAGCAGTAGTTTTATTGTGGCATTGGTCTAACTTTACTTGGCTTACCCACTCATCCCTTCAAATTTTTTTGTGAATGTGGACACAGCAACATTGGAACAAGGCCCTCTGTGGATGTTATGCACTCCACGATATTCTTCGAGAGTTGCCTCAGTATTGCATCGTTTGGTGTGATAAGATTTCACTAGTTCACTTTGCAGCTCACTTTTCAGTGTCATGTTGATTGAATGCTCTGCAATCAGTAGACCTATTTATACTCATGAAAAATATACCTGAGAAACTGCATTAGCAATCCTGGTTGGGACACGTGATAGCTGTGGTATTTGCATTGGGATTATACTCTTATAACCCTTGTGCAATTTGTGAGATATGATGCACTGACCTGTGTAATTTTCTTTATAATCACCCTGTACTTTATGCAATGCATTTATTCACCTAAACTCCAAAATATCCATTTGTGTCAAAATGACAACATATGAAAGGAAGGAAAAGAATTTCTAGATCTGTAACAACAAATATAAGGAAACTTAAGAGTTTGTTTTGTTTGTATTTATTAAATCAAATTCTACTCAGTAAATAATGGTAAAACTAGAAATAGTGACTAAAAATGTTGAACTTTCCACATTCATTGAATCATTTTACACATTCGCAATGAAAATTTCTGTATACCTGATGTTACAGATTTCATAAAGTAAGCACGTAACATCTGATTTATGCTTTTAAAAGCTTTTAGCAAAAGTAATTTTCATTGAATTTCAGTAATTTTATTTTTGTTAAATTTTATGTCATTGTTTCTGAAATTTGTCGTTTTTTAATTAACTTGATTGCACAAAATTTACAATTCACAAAGAGGATTACAACATTTTAAAATCTAACCTCTATCTTTTTCAAAAAAGATGAAAATGTAATTCATACAGATCCACAATAAGCATCAAAAGTTCAAGTGAATTTACATTTCTATATTTTGTAAGCTGAACTGAAAAATAGGAAATTTGATGCATTTTTCAAAGTAATGTTTCTTTTTTATTTAGCATAATATTCATTTTATTTTTAATTCAGAAATTCAACTTGTAAAATATTGAAAGAAAAAATTTAGACACATCCAGAAAACAAAAAATTAACAAATATAGCTTCTAAATGATTGAGTAAAACAATTATGAACCAAATTCAACCAGCTTACAATCAAAATGTATTGAGCTTAGAGAGTAAATAATTTTCTCACATATATCCAATTTTTTAAACTTGGAGATTTTGACAGTTTTGACATACGTTACTGCTTTTCACCAAAGTACAATTGGATTATCAGACCCATTTTTTGTTTTGTAATTTTATGGTCATCATAAGATTGTTTGAGGCTGTTCAGTTCTTGTGTCACTTGTTTGGTGCTAATAGGAAAAGTAGTTGGCAAACTTTACAAAATGTTTGTTGATATGTCTCCTCATGTTCGTTATGTTTATAAAAGTCTGTATTGAATAAGTGTTAGATTTGCATAATTGTTTCATTATAAACATTATAATGAAAATGAAGGGTTATCATCCATTTGATAATGTAGTAGTTTAAGCTCAAAAATGTCAACAAATATTTTAAAAGGGGAATTTGTTGAATTTTATAAATTCTTTAGAAAAAAAATTAATGACATTGAATGTCCAAATAAGAATTAAAATTCACTGTTGTAATAAGAACTGTAATGCATTAACCTCTATTGTTCTCGGAATCCCCAACTTTCAGCGGGCGATCAGTCTTTGTTGCTCGGAACACGTTTTTTTTTTAAAATAAACCAATATTGACTATAACTTTTAGTGCCGTGCAAGTTGCCACAAAAATTAAGGGTTAGGTGCCATTTTCAATTATCCGGATACAGCTGTTTTTAGCTTCGATACTTGGCCGGAGCCAAGTATTACTGGGAAGTCCAATACTCAGCCAGGGCCGAATATCTGGCTGTTTACCCGTGCATCTCTAGTTCTCTATATGCTTACTGCTCCCTCTATTACAGCTTGTGAGGTTCTCTCAATTTTGGGGATGTGGTCTTCCATGGCAGTCCTTATCCCCTTAGGTCATGCACATATGTGGGCTCTTCATGACCAGTGGAATCTTGCACAGGATCCTTTGATGGCTTCTATTTCCCTTCCTCCTACCATTGTTGGCAATCTACATTGGTGGTTGGGCAAGACTCGCACGTCAGCGGGTATCCCACTGCCTCTTCCTTGTCCAGAATTAAACATTTTCACAGACGAGCCTCTTCAGGGCTGGGGGGGAGAGGGGCGATCAAAAGGAGGTTTCGGGACATTGACTGAGAGGTCTTTTCATATCAACATCCTGGAGCTTCTCACTGTACATCGTGCATTGGTTCATTTTCTCCAGCTAGCCAGAAATTTACTGATAATGATCCATTCCGAATTTGTACAGAGGTTGCTTATCTCAATCAGTAGGGTGGTATCAATTCTCAATTCCTATGTTTTCATATTTTGATATTCTTTTTTGGGCACACATGCTTGATATTCATATCATTGCATGTCATGTTCCAGGTGCTTTCAATCTTGTTGTGAATCAGCTTTCCCATCTAGACAAAGTCTATCCAACGGAGTGGTCTCTCAATCCTCTTGTTTTCCAATGGCTTTGTTTTCAGTGGGGTACTCCTCACATTGTTACATTTGCCACATCACTCAACAACACATTAGCTCTGTTTTGGTCTCAGGTCCCTCATCCTCTTGCTCTGGCTGTGGATGCTTTCAGTCAGGATTGGACCAATACTTATATGTTTATCCTTCCATTCGACTTCCTCATAGGATGATTATGATCTATGCTATTCTGTGTCAGGTCCTTCTGAATGCTCCTTACTAGCTGGTTCAACCGTGGTTCCTGCAGCTACTTCAGCTCTAAACTACCCCTCCCGTTACCTCTGCCTTTTCAGTCGAGGGTTTTTTGTCTCTTTGGGTTATTGGGTGGCTTTGTCCCACACATTTCATTTTTCTTGATACTGTAGGATGTTTACCTCTCCTACACCTTCCATTTTGATGTGTTCCTTCCAGATTCATCATCCACCCCTTGGCGAGCTGACCTTCCGGATTGCGATGTTAATGTGGTCCTTCACTGCTTTGCTTTGCCTCCATTCGAACCTCTCTCCACGCGTTCCTTGTTTCACTTTCCTGTAAGACTTATTTCCTTCTCCTCTTAGCCAGTGGACGTTGGAGGTCTGATTTATTTGCCATTGATGTTTCACATACTGTTTATCATTCCACGTGTCTTTGTTTTTATCTGGATCATTCTTTCTTACCCTTAACATAAGTCCTCATATATGTGTTACAGATGTCTCTATTCCTTCACTCATTTCTACTCTTGTTATTCCATCCATGTAGTGGGTCACAGTGGAAGTACATGCAGATTACTTCAGTTCTTCCACTTCCACTATCTTTTGATGATTATTATTCTGAAGATGTTCATGCACTTGTGGTGGTTTCTGTCGTATATTTGAATGAGAATGCTTACATTACACAGACATCTTTTCAATGTCAGGTTCCCAGATCGATCATTCAATTTCTCACTTTGTTATAAAACAACAACATGTGCCTGTTCATGGATCAGGGGGTATGAGATTCCTTCCAGTCTTATGAACTTGAGGTGAAGAGGGTATGATCGTCTTTCCTACCCTGACATGGATGTTGGTTCTCGGTGGTCTGGGTTTTGGATTGTAGTTGACTTGTCAGTGGTATGATCCTCTTTCCTACCCTCACATAGATGTCGGTGCCTGGTGGCGGTGTTTTGGATTGTAGTCGACTTACCGGTGGTATGATCCTTATCCTACCCCTGTGTAAATGTCAGTGCCTGGTGGCTGGGTTTTGGATTGTAGTTGATTTACCGGTGGTATGATCCTCATCCTACCCCTGTGTGGATGTCGGTTCCTGGTGGCATGGGTTTTGGATGTAGTTGACTTGCTGTGTACGGTCCGTCATGCCCTAGCCACTCTACATCTAGAGGCACATCCTTTAATCCTACCCACTTTTATGTTTCCTGGCATTGAGTTTCCTTACTTTACTAAATATTGTATGGTTCCGATCACTTTCTTGCCATAGTTCTCTCCCAGTTGGATGTGCTCCTTCACTTTCCTGCCTATATATGCAACATCTTTCCACAATGGGCAAAGAATATACCTGTTTCAAAAGTGGTGTGGTCTCCCTCGTATGATCTTTGACTCCAAAGACCTCCTTTTGGGGAGTGTCCTTTGGAATCTTTTGAAGGATGCTTTTTTCTTTCCATCTCACTGGTCCCTCCACCTATTCAGTGTAGGATTCTAGCTGTCTATGTGAGTGCATGTAATATATTATATCAGAAGTTATAATTTCCTATACTGAAAAAGTATTTCCGATAGGTACTTACCTCCGCACTTTCTACATTTCTTCTGCACTGAAAATCAGTTCTTTCCTTTTCTGCCACACTTGAAGTGATAGTTCAGTAGAATTGAATAGAGGGAGTCACGTGCATTAGAGTAGCGTGTCGTGCTCTTATTGGTGGAGGGTTGTTGCATGATAATTTGCATGCAAGACTCATTACGGGTAGGAGTTTCTAGACTTGTGGCACACGTAAATTTTTTTTGCACATAGAGGGCTGCACTTAACAAGAAGAGATATTTATGTGAGAAGAGGTAAGTACATATCGGAAATATATTTTCTGTATAAGAAAATTATAACTTGTGGCCCAGGAAGAAGGAAGAGCTTTTAATGTGGTCTGTCAATGAGCACCCAGAGAATCAACAAACACTGAAGGTGTAGAGAGGGATTAGTAAAAGTAATAAGGTAAAGCAAAGTAATTGTAACACCACTTCTGTAATATGGAGTAAAGTAGGTGTGAAATAAAGTATTTGTTAAGTAAATTATATGGGAAATAAGTTATGCATATAAATGCAATTCTTGATTTAAGTTATTAGTTCAAGACCTAAATCTATAAAAATTGCTCCACTTTGAACCTTTTTTTTTTTATTCTATCATGATAGCAAAAGTTTACCCACAGCTGTCAAGTAGTTCCCGAACAGGTATTGAAGGTCTTCCAAATTATGGAAATGAAATTACCTCTCAGACCAATAGGATAAATACAGTAAATCCAACATCAACCAAGAGTGGCACCACTCCACGTTCTTTGTCAGGGTCATCAAATCATTCTTCGTCCTTCGAAGCGAAAACTGAGAGGTATGGCTTTGGTAGTTATAAAATAAACTTAAGAATATTTTTATCTAGTTTTCATGTATGTGTTATCATTTAATAAGTAATTCAGACCAACTATTATCAACAAATCTGCTACATTTTTTTGGTATTTGAGTCTTATAACATGGATTACTCTTTATTGATGTATATTTGTTACTATTTTTGAATAAAAGTGCACATTTGGGCTCAAATCAATCAGATCTTACACAGCACCATACACCAACAATCACTGCTGTAAAGTTTATATTTTCCAATGACATGTAGTATCTTATGTAAAGTAAATCAATGCTGAGATTAATCACATTTTAAAAGAATGATGTTCCAGTTTCTATGCTGCCCTTGAAACTACTTCCTTTAGTGTTGTTTGTACTTATTCTTATGGTTGTGATTACACACTATTGCCTGACACTGCATTTTGCATCACAAACTTATGTGAAGGACAGTGAGATCAATCTTAGAATGTACATTTTGACAGACCTTCCACAAATCCTCTACTATATGTGGATATTGGCATACAAGACAACATTTAAGGCACATGTTTATTGGAGCTGCACTGGGGTATTGAAAAGTATGTGATCAAAAGGAAGTGTGAGTGCTCTGATCAATATTTTTATTAGCCATCTTCTCATGAAAACAGTTTTTGGTTTTCAGGCATGGCTCTAGGCTTGTGAATTTTAGTCTGTGTATTATCTTGGTAATAGTAGAAAGAGATGTACCCAGCTTCATTGCAGTGGCCAAGTGGATTGGAGAATTCTCTTTCATAACCATAATTCTCACTTTGCAGATGGTATTATTGCCCAAGATTAGGATGGTGATGTAGTTTCATGGCCTCTAGCTGTCCTAAATGCTTAACTCTGCTAGATTTTCTGCTTTCATGGAGAACATTGAAGACTCTAGTGTTAATAATACCAGAACATATGCCATCTTCATTGTAATGGCTTTATTTTGTATTTTAGGGTTCTTTTTCATAACGTTCATTTTATGGAACGGTACATTGCACCAGATTGGTTTGGGTGTGATGGTGCAGTTTCAAATCTTGATGCTGCCTTAACCCTTTCGAGACAGATCACGGGTGAAAGGCCACATCATCGTGTTTGTTGACAAAATTTTATTGAAGTACTATTTCATGAATTTATGTCAATAAGTTTGGTATGAAACTGTAGATTATAATTCAAATTTTAGTATTATATATTACTCAATTTCTGAAATTAAAAGTAAATATTAAAAAAACACAATTAAACATTGATTTTTGTGTGTCATGTTTGTACAGTATATATATATATATATATTGTATTTTCAGTGATTGTTTCTTGAAAGTTTGAATAAGTATTTGGGTATTTTATCTTAATAGCAATACTTGTGCAGCAACACGATTAGCTTCAGTGCCACAGCTTGGCTTTCCAGGAGGTGCACAGTATGCTGTTCCAGCAACAGCGTATTACTATGAATCTTATCCTGTTCATAGTGGTGTCACAATGCATCATTTTAGTGGTTCTTCAGGAACATCAAGTTATGCTGCCAATGTGGTCTCATCATCTGGTCAAAGACCTGGAATATGTAAATATTTCTTGTGTACTTATAAGTAAAGAACATTTATACCTGAAAATAAAAACATACATATATGAGACTTTAAACAAAAAATCAAAATCTTCTCTGTTTAATTTTAAAATATAGTTTTAAACTTTCACCCAATATATTTGTGACTGAAAGTGTTCACTAGACATGTTTACTTGTACTGTTGTTTTCTTTATATACACATATGTATATGTATAATATGTATGTTTGTAACAAAACAGGAACATTAACAGCAGTGTAGGATTATTGCAAGGAATGACAAATATATTGCTAACCTGGTTCTAAAAGTATATTAAACAATTAATGGTTAATAGATAAAAATATAACAAATTTATATATCATTAAATTTATTTGTTATATGTTTTCTTAATATTGAACCTTATAATCATCTTGTACCAGCAATGTATGACTTTTTGTTCCTAATCCTTTATAAATTCAGTCTGTTATCTTAAGACTATGACAGTTTAATGAACTGGCTTACTAACAGTGTTATACTAGAGCACACCATTACTTATAAATTATGTACAAAGTGGTTTTGTTTGAGTTGGTCCAATAATGCAAGACTAACAGTGAAATTTTTTTCAGTCTTAGATTTGAAACATCCTGTAACTAATATAGAGAGCTTTGTTCTGAAGTTTTGTATTTATACTGTTTACAGTGTTCAGAATAGGCATAGTTAAATAAGATCTTGAAAGAGATGGCCAGTAGAATATGATAGCTTATATTATCATTTATAAAATAAGTTTCTACTTTGATTGGAATAGCTTATTTAGACTGAAGAAACCAATTGCAAAAACTTCAACCTTTGTTTGTGGTAGCAAGTAAGTGTAGTGGTATAGTTATGGTAAACATTATTTTAGTGCTATTCACCATGCATACAGAATGAAGTTTTTCTGTTTAAATTAATAAATAATGGAAAACTTTTTTATTTTAGTGTCACAACATGTCACTACAAATACAGTCAACCAGGGTTCTCCGCACAATTTTGCTACAAGAGGTTCTTCAGGTCCTCCTGTTAGATCCTTAAGTTCTGTCATGGTAAACATTGATTCCTCATGCCATCATGTGGCCTTTCGTCCGTTGTTCACATCAGGTAATAAAGGTCAGCTAATGTGCTGGTTATTTCATATTGTTGGGAAGTTATGAGTTTATTGTCCTCTAGAGGGTTAAAACTGTATTACTTACAAATTTTTCTCAATATAATCAATGCAAAAAAGGTTATTGCCTTTGCTTGTACTTCGGTGTTTTTTCTTTTATTTAATTAAAAGTTGTTTTTTGAACTAAAAAAGTTTTTTGTTATTGAACTATTTAAACTGTCACTCATTTAATTGAGTGTTTGATAATCACATTTAACCTCACTTCACTAGAGTCTAAAATTCTGTATAGTTTTCCATTTTCATCTAGTTTTATAGATATAGGCTTTTTAAAAAAAATTTTGCTAAATCTTTTTATAATTTTTTATTAATGTCTTTACATTGATTTTCTGATAGAACTGAGTGTTTCATGTTATAATGTTTACAAGAAGAAGAAAAGCTCTCACGGAAACTGTAGCAGTTGATATTTATTTGGTGTAAACCTAATGTTTCAGTTCTACTTCACTTATAATGGCTGGAGACGGCTTGAATGGGTAATGAAGAAAAACTTTAATATAAGTTTTTCTTCATTACCCATTCAAGCCGTCTCCAGTGGGTTCCTCATCATCGAATTTACTTCACTTAGTAATTCATAATCCTTGTGTTAAAATATGACAAAATATTTTTTGTCTATTATCTAACCTAATGAGTTTCTAATTTTCATATTTTAATAACTTCATAATGGCAATGGAGTGCAAAAACTAATTTGAAAAAAAAACCTTCCAAATTGGGTTTAGTTTAAATTATATCTCATTATTAAGTATGTGTTCTTTATTCTTAAATATTTCTAATGATTCTCTTTCGTTGGGTTGATGGAAGAATTTTGGTTCTGTAATGATTTTTGATTGTGTGGTCCTTTACTCTAGTTGAAAGAAATGGTTTTGTTTGGTCAAAATAAACAGGATTAAAAGAACAACTAATTGAATAAATACTGAAGCTGATAATGGTGTCCAAATTATAATTGGAAACGAAAACAATGATGCATTGATGGTGTTAATAAACTGCTAGGTGATGGTTCATATTCCAAACTGAAAACTGATCTAATATCCTTACAACTATGATGGATATTTGATGACGAGGAACCCACTTTGAGACTAATAATGCTTAATAATTTGAATTCACTACAGCAATTAATCGAGGTTGTGTAAGTCTAAACGTTTATCTTTGTTATTCCATGTATAAGTTTTTAAGTATGTTCTCTCACCTATCCACTACCATAAACCAATCATACCGTGAAACTAACTTTAAACTTTGCAACATGAATATAAAAAAATCATCAAAAGAAGGAATGATATTTCCTTCCTCAGACAGTGCCACTCTGAAAAGCTAATTCCAAAATTTGTGAAGGTCAAGTTATCGAAAAACTTAAACCAGTTTTTAGGTATTCTCCAAAACATGCAGAAAAAACTCCTAAAAGCAAGCCTGAATTTCAAATATCAAGAACTGGACTATTTACAAAAACTCAAACAGAAATTAGACCACCAACTAGCCTGCTACGTCAAACCTGATGATTAAGGCAATATACAATGCACTATCAACCAAAACAACTCATTGTTGAATAAAGAAAAGAAATCCATACACAATAAGAAACTAGATCAACTAAGGAAAGTACAACAACTTGAAGTGAAACACAACAATGCAGCTCAGCCTAACCTTGTAATCAACAGATCTGACAGGACACTCAACGACACAGAACTTCGACTTCTAAACAAAGGTCTCAACTCTGCTGTCAACCACAAAATAGCTACATGCCTAGAGTTCAAGACGTGCCTAGAAGATCTAGCCAGAAGACTAGTGACCCACTACATAAATGAACTAAAGACCATCCTCCAACTACAGAAAGAAGAAATCCATGACATCAACCAACAGACTTTTATCACAGGCAACTACAACAAAATGTGGTTTCCTAAAGTTCCCAAAAACTCTATTTTAAATAACTTTTTTAAAGAATTTTTGAACAAGACTATTAGTATAGTCAACCAATCTCGTAAACTGAAAAGTAACCTCACAAGTAACGAGATCAAATCCATTTATAATCTGAAAAAAGACACTAACATTAAAATTGTAAAAGCTGATAAAGGCAACACCACTGTAATCATGAACAATTCAGAATACATCAACAAAATGAACAACATCCTTTCCAATAAAAAAAAATTCAAAGCCATCCCAAACAACCCAACAAACACACACGAAAAACAACTAAACAGAACTTTGTTACTAATGAAACAAGATAATTTAATTACTGACGATCTATGGCATTCCTAAACCACACAAACAGGACTGCCCCCTACGACCTATACTGTCCACTTATGACTTCTTCAACTACAATCTTGACAAATACATAGCCTGGACTCTCACACCATATGCAACACCTGCAGGTTCATTTTCAATTTCAAATATACACTAGACCAACTAAATTTGAAAGCCTTAATGACTAGTTATGATATCGTTTCACTCTTCACCGAAGTCCCCACCAATGAAGCTTGCAATATTTCACTTGACCTCTGCATTAATGACCCCAACAAGTTAATCCATATCCCCAGCACACTTTTTGCTTCTATCTTAGAATTTACAACAATTAAAACCAACTTCATTTTCAACAACGAATATTTCCTTCAAATAGATGGTTTAAGTATGGGCAATCCTGTTTCGCCCATTCTTGCCAATATATTTATGATCCAAATTGAAACACAAGCCATACATTCTGCACTTCATCCCCCACTATACTGGTACACATATGTCAATGACACTTTTGCGGTTTCACTTCTACAGAACACACACTAACTTTCTTTGAACACATAAATTCCATTCATCCCAACATCAAATTTACCATAGAACACGAAAACAATAAACAGTTATCTTTTGTTAGCCTCAACATTATTAGATCGGACACACAGTTTAAAACCAAAATTCACTGGAAGAACACACAGGCCTCTACATCCCCTGGAATTCCGCTCATGACACCACACAAAAAATCAATACACTCAAAAACCTCATAAACTGTTCAACGGACAACATAAGTGAAGAAATCAACCACATAAAGCATTCTTCATTCACACCAATAAATTTCCACCAGCTGTTGTTGAAAAACTCCAATATTTCCCACAACAGAACATTACACTGCAGTTTACCTTTAGTCCCTGAAAACAGCTCAAGAATTATCCACACTTGGACAAAACTAGCCAACTGTCAAGTTCTCTCAAAAACCCGGCCCTAAATTAAAATTGTTACTAAACAAAAATTATTTAGAATCACACAATACCAATGTCATTTACAAAATAACATGCAATAACTGCCCAGAATTCTACATCGGAGAAACAGGAAGAAAATTGGAAACCAGATTCATAACACAATAAAAAACAGTCCATGTTTTTCACCATTGCAACTCAAAAAACTATAGCATATCTATTAAAGACCCAGTAACTTTAAACAATG